GTCCACAGTCTTCCTCTTAAACTGACCGCTTTGTGTATACCTCAAAAGAGGGCGGGCTCAGCTATCTTGAAGCTTCCAGTGTCTGTGACTGGCCTCTTAGCCTGGATTATCAGGCTTTCGCTGTGAAAACACTCTGCAAGTTGGAAACGTTTGAGGTATGTAACGCAAGTTATGGGTGAGTTCTACGATGCATTGAGTTTGGTTGACCATGCAGTAGGTTAAGGCATGATTAACAACGAAAACAACCGAAACGAAACGACCGAGACCATCAACGGCTGAAACGAGAGTGCGAGATCACAAATGCAGACTTGATTCAATGGCCGTTTTTTCACCGAGCATGTTGTCGCTATTTGGACCTATTAGATCTGGAGCGCACAACTGACGATTTTCTCTCAAATGCTTTATGTCGATTGATCAAGTTTTAAGCTATGGCAGGTTAATTTTAGGCTGCGCCGTGTAAAATGTTAATCGCCTCGGTCATTCTAGGAGAACTTCAGCCAGTTCTCGTTTTCATAAAGGATTTGTGGTCCATTTTCCAAAAACCTTGCGACTGTTGCTATTCCGAAAATCACATTTGGCCAATTTTCGATACCCAAAAACGACATTTTTATTTATCCGAAAATACCATACGGGCATTATATTTCTCACGAAGTTCGTGCTGACAATTTACATTAGAAACTAAAGGCCATACGAACAGATAATTTACTGCAGCAATCCATTGGGTCCCTATGTTAAACTGTTCTGAGCTCGAGAGTAGCTGAGGGAGATTTAGTTGCTAAGAATCCAAGTCAAATTAATTGAACATAGCCAGGGACAGCCAGGCGATACGAATGAGAGTGTAAGGAAAACTTCAAAACTGGGTAGAAATAGACTGCGAGCGGTTTCTTTTTTGCTAAAAAAAAAAAAAAATCCGTGGTGAAGGACCTCGCTATTCCCATTTGCCATCTAGACCACAGTCGGAAAGAACGAATCGCTCTTCACAGCACAAAATGCTACAGTTTTACCAATATATCCCGAAGTTAGCGAGTCCTCCAGCCAAGCGAAGTCGCAAGACCAGCCAAGCGAATTAATCAGGGATCGAGCCATGAGAGTTTTCATTAAAGATATCACAATACAGTAAGGCAATAATACACACACAAAAAAGTCATAAGTTATCAAAATATATAAAATGTATTGTACTACGCTAATCATTCATAAAAAATAAGAAAAGAAAAGAAAGAATGCCTCAAACTATCTCAACCGTGTTCTTAAGAGACTAAAGAGAATGCGTGACTTCTGCTATAAAATCTGTTGTTGAATTTAATTTCGATCCTTCATTGTGTCAATGGAATAAAATTGTGACGTGTCTTCGAGGATATTGTTCATCGAAATTTGCGCTCCTCTTCGTGTTAAAGCGACAGATATGCCCCAAA